AGCCGCTGATGAGCCGTTGGCTACCTCCCCATAGTCCATTCTTTGTGGCCTTGGTCTCCTGTTAATAAATTACGTCCAACAAAGATAGATAGGCACAAAAATAAGCCTAAAACGTAATCTTGAGTTTGGTACAGAGTCAAGGATGTCTCTTAGTAGCGAATTGGGCAGAACTTTTCTTCCCTCAATTCATAAGAAGTTATCGTAAACCTTTTTAAGCATTGTTTGGCTTCAAAAAACTACTGACCCAGTTGCTAGTATGATGTATGCACATGAGGAAAATTCAAGTTTCCTGGGATTTCTTTGGATGAAAAATAAATTGTCTTTCAAATTAAGTCCCTTGAGATTTTTCGTATTTGTTGTTTCGTGTTGTAAGAAATACCAAAAGTTCTTTCAAGTGAAAAACTGCTTTTTTCATCACGAAAGGCGCATTCTGTACTTTCAGTTGGGTCGTCTCGGTAGACCTCTTTCGGAGTGACCGAAAGTGGCATAGAGAAGGGAAGGAGAAGCAGAGGAAGTTTTGATTTTCATATAGAGGGAGTTTTGATTTTCAGTTGACAAGTATATTCAGATCTTCTCAATCTTCATGTTGTCGTTTCAACTGTTACTGCTAGTCTCCACTCAGTTTCTGTGGCAATCGCATGAAGCAATATCTGGAAAACAGATTGTTTTAAATCAGATATATTTGTTCAACGAACAAAAAAATTGGCCAAGGCAGGGGCTGCCCGTGCGAAGATGCGTTTTTTGCAGAGTTAAGGTTTTGTCGCTAGCGGCACCGGTTTTTTCGGCAGATGCTTCTAGCTGAAAGAATTTCAAACTGGTCGCCAGAACTGTCAGGAAACATCCCCTCAAAATTCCAGTCTTCTAGCTTCTCATTTTCTCGAGTAAGTAACTTACCCGGAAGGAACTTTTCACGGCTTACCCGGAGGCTGGATTTGAGCTCATTAGCACCTGCTTGGACAGGGAACATTACCCTAAAATTTCAGTTTTCTAGCAACTCAGAACCCCGAGTTATGAATTTGCGCGGGAAGAATTTTGGGGAGCTCGTGCGCGGGTACCACGTTTACCCGGGGGCTGGATTTGAGCTCATTAGTACCTACTTGAACGAGGAACATTCTCATAAAATTTCAGCTCTCTAGCTTTTCTGGTTCGCGAGTTATCAGCTTATCCGTAAAAGACTTTGGCGGGGTCTTACGTGGGTACCACGCGGGAAGATCGCCCATTTTGGGGATAGGGGCCCGCACGTGCATCTAGATTAAGCCCCCAAAGTTTCAGCCCCGTAGCTTTTGCCGGTCTCGAGATGAAAAATCAGTACAGACGTCCAGCGCACACACAGACCCACACACAAACACACACACAGACAACCTCTCGTCAATATGCGTTTTTCGCACTGCATTGCTGCAAAAAACGCATAAAAAATCAAAGTGTCGAACCGGAATAACAAGTGTTCCTCATCAGTACCTCTGGTAAAGTCAGTGATGTACTATATAAAACTCTGACGGAAATTGAAGAGCAAGAGCTGGCTGTGGCGAAGACAGCGATGAAGCAAAGGATGTTTGACTTACGCTATTCCTGTCACGATTACGCTATACCTCAACCAGACTATGTTGTACTGTAGCACAACCAAAAAAGGGTTTGATTAAAATATACTGCAGTTAAGCGTTCAATTTGTTCGATCGGGAACAGCTGAATCCAGTGCTTCTTTTGTTAGCTGAGAAACAACTAGCGCTATG